TATCATGACAGATATGTTCTTAGTCACAGAGAGGCCAATAAAAGGGAGATTTTATAATTGCAACACCAGGAACAAGAGAACCTTGCTCGCACTGCGATTTTATGATATTACGTTATCGCATGGTTTGACCCATTCAGCAGCCTGGCTGCATCAATATCCAGCAAGGCAAAAGCGCGGTCAATATCTCCTTTTGTGTGATGCTTATGTAAAACTTTGGGATGTTGTGACTTTTTATTTCAATTTTCGTGTTCTACATCACATAGCAGGCGGAAGGATGGTGGAAGTTGGCGGAGAAACGGAATGTTGGATACAACATCTGTGCGCCTATAAATAACAACATATGGTGTTTCCCCACATTTCTGCACCGACCCCCGCCACTGTGACTCGATGTGGTCGCCTCAACAACATGCAGTGTGTGCTGGGATGCCATTTTGCCAGTAAACATATCACTTATAGTTTGTATTTAAACCTAAGCCATCGTCCGACCACCAACTCGCCTCGACCTGGCCCTCTTACCTTAGTTTTGCCCTCCTGCGATAACAAAGCGTTTGGCATCTACCGCATGGCCCGCAGTAGATTGAAAGCCTCCATGTGAGCAAACGCATTCAGTTTAGCACCGAAACCAACTTCATCGAAACCAACTTCAACTTAAATGCATTGCATTGACTTCTTTGCTTATCCTTCGTGACTGCCTATTGCATTTCAAGCATTTCACAGGCATGACAAATTGACGTTCATGATGCATCTGATGGTCGAAAACTTGGTTCAATCGAACGTCGACTTCAATCGGTAGGAAGTAATATGCAATACCTGCGTGCCTTAGAAAAGACTGCAATTCGTCCTGACCACAAATCAAGCCTGGAGCCGCCCCTGGATGATGTGGCGAGCCAACACTTTGACAGGATATGTCAAATCGTCAGTCATGGCAGGCCACACATTTCAGCGCCCCGCGCGAAACATTCGCGTCACAGGCCGCTGGCTCAAATTCCGCCGACATTAAATCCTTTCCATTCGAACCTGACAAGCCGATATCTGCCATCGTGGAGTTCCGGGGCCATGCGAAGTCCAATATCATGGCACGACGCTTACCATAACGGTGTCATTCTTTCGGGCACTAAAGAAAGGCCAGCTCTATGAAATTCTAAACCGGACTGGTGGCCCGGGCGCCACCGGCCGGCTTGCGTCCAAGCAGGTGGATGTGCACGGCACGATCGTCGTTCAACTATCCGGTATATTCTGGTAATATCTGGTCTCCCGGCAGCCTCGCGAACGGCATTCTGATTCTGTTCTCGGGCGTGGAGAGCAGGGAGATTGCTTGTTTTCCCTGGCTTTCAGGGTGAAGCTGGATTAGACCGAGCCTCCACATAATAGGCCGTCGCTAGTGATATGCTCTCAGACACTACGGGCAAACGTGCTGTTTATCATGTCTAAGCGGGCCATTTCGCGCTCGTCGCTGTTCGTCACCCTGCGAGGGAGTGCACACGGTCGGCCGAGTGCGCATCACGCTCGCCTCCCAGACACAGAGCGGAGGGCGAGGCAGCACCTGTGATGCTGATCCACCAGCTTACAGCGAGGAAGCTGTGAAAACCTTGTGCCCACCACAGACTGAGAAAGCTGCCAATGACGTCACGTGGGAGGGAAATGGAAGATTAGCTTCGCAAGCGATCTGTTCGTTTATTTTTCCCCACTTGTCTCATGAACCGTTTCCTTATTCAGAGAACGGAATTGAGCTGGTTCGCTAACACGGTACGCGGTGTTACGATACGATACGAAACACGATACGCGGCGTTTCATCCGCTTCATTTAACGCGGCACGCCATCAACCATCTGTCGACACGTCTTATCCAAGTATAGCACAGGTGAAACTTACACTGTCATCTGCTATCACCCTGCAAACGTGCTGCGGTTGCGAGCACGGTACTGTTGAACAAGCCTAGCGACACGGCAGGGAAAACATGGTTCATATTTAGCGAGCGTGTCTAGCGACTTATTAACTGTGTCGCGATATTTGTATGTTTCTGGAATGGAACGCTTCCACTTGCTGCTCTGGAATCTTACTCGGCTTGCTGCTCTGGAATGTTGCTATGCTTACTATTCTGGAATGTTGGTCTCCTTGGTATCCTGGAATGACATTCGTTCTCAGCAGCTACTCCAGGAATGTCACTATGCTTGCTTCACTGGAATGTTACAACAAAGTTTCATCGAACGTGACCGATTTGAGCGAGGGAACGGCGACTGTACTACTGTGTGAGCCGTGGAGAGTGATGCGGGATCGAGAAACAGAAAATTCCTGGTTGCTGGATTTTGGGTCACCGACAGCAAGCCATCCACTTCGCGATGCGTCAAGCATTCTCCAAAGAGCCGGCTGGCTCTTCGTAAGAGCCAAACACGTTCGGCGTGCCCCACAAAGCCATCTGGGAGAGGGCCAGCCCGAGGGCGGACCTGAATACGACACCGATGAGAACACAGACGAGCGAGCGAGCGAACGAGCGAGCGAACGAGCGAGCGCAGCTCTGGCCGGTGCATCAGCTCACTGCTAATGCGCCGTGAAAAACCGTGATTTTATTTTGCTTACGAGAGATTATTATTTGCTTATAATAGCTAACTTAAGGCTGCAGTTAATCGCGTGGGGAGATCTGAGGGCACTTCGGACACCGATCTGGATATTGACCTTGTTTGACCTTATTTGACCCAAGGTTCATCACGTCGGGACCGTGAGTTTATATACAGTCTTATCTACCACTTGAATTCGATGTATCTGACTCCCTTTGCTTTTAGCATTTCAACCTACCCACCCACCCATCCCCCAATCCCATCTGCCACCCGAGTGCGTTGCATTCAACCGGCCAACCGCGGGTATATTAAATACCCTGACACACAGACTTAGCGCAGTCACCCGCCGGCAGTCCCCGCAGCGGGTGCCATTCTCGGCAAAGTTACTACACATTGCGTTATTTGTTGGAACCTGGAAATACACAGCTCAGGGGAGGCACAATTTTTGGCCGAACCGATTATCATCTGGATCCGATCGTGCGTCTTCCACAGCAGACATGCTGTCGCACTTCGGTGCAGCAACGCTCTCAGTACAGACAGCTGCGCCGCTCGCTTGAATTCCTTTCACTCTCGGACTTTGTCGGGTGACGAGGGGGGGGGGGAGGGGTGGATTGTAACCCTGTCATGAATTTTTTTCTATGCGCGTTACTCCCGTGCAAAGCATTTTTAGTGGCACCATAATTTTCGACTTTCTTGGTCGTTATTGATTTCATGTCTCGCTGTCGCAAACAATCGTTTTGTCAATGCATCTGTTTAAAGATGAATATGAGAAAAGATGTTACACATTTTCGCTGGTTAATAAGCACCTACACATTAAGTAGCAAGTTTTAAAGCACTAAATCGCTGAAATGCTTACTACATCATCATTTTGCGTCCCTTTCGTGGCGTGATACCTAATTTTCAGCCCCCCTAAACAACGAATATCGACGACTATGCGTTGCCTATGCCTTGGTTACCTACCTTGGTTGCCTATGCCTTTGGTTACCTCACACAAATGCAATAGCGATGCGAGGAAAGATCGACACCGTATCCATTCGGCACGTTTCGTAGCAAACATCCGGCCGCCGCACCAATGCGAGGCACTGTCTGAAACGGCTGGCTGGACGGCCGTCACCACTGCTGACATTTCGTCTCTGTCCGGGCGGCTCCGGCGGCCGGCGGCCGGCCTGACTCGGCTCCCTGGAGAGGCCGCACCGTTGCCGCCAGCTCGACCCGAGAGCGCAAAGCAGGCCGGCCGCCGGCGGGCTGCCACTCGGAGCCGCGGCGTCCCCCCCCCCCCCCCCCCCCCGCCTGTTGACTGGCTCGTCGAGCCGGCGGCCGGCGGGGCGGCAGCACACGGGGCTGGGGGCGCCGCAGGGGGGGGGGGGAGGGGAATGTTGCGAGCCCCGTTAACCACGGCCGGAGCGCGGCAGGAGGGTGGATGTTGTGAGCTTCGCAACCCACGGCGGGGCGCCGCAGGGGGCTGTTAAAAGCCCCGGCACCCACAGCCGAAGACGGATGTTGGGAGCTACGTCACCCACGGCCTGGGACACTCCGGAGACGGTGTTGGGAGCCGCGTCACATCCAGCCAGGCGCTCCGGAGATGGATGTGGGAGCTACGTCACCCACGGCCGGGGGACCTCCGGAGACGGATTGTGGGAGCCGCGTCACATCCAGCCAGGCGCTCCGAGATGGGTGTTGAGCCACATGACTCATGGCCGGGGACGCTGATGTGGTAACAGCCACCCAACTTGCATTATAGTCAGCATAATTCAATGTTTTCCACCGAAGGGTTTTCGTTCAAGCAGCCTTGATTTACCCGCAGGCCTCAACATTTTCCACTCGAGTTTGAGAAGAGTCTATGCTTAGCCGCTTGCCACACTGATTAGTTGTAGATGTGATACAAATATATGAAGTTACTTGTTGTTTTAGCTGATCTAGACGAGGAATTTTCAAAGCATTTAATTTTCTTTGACCAAGAAGACTCAGGCCCCAGCTGTGCTACTTTACCTGCGTGCGGGTTCGATTTCAGCGAATCTTACGTTTTTGCATCATTGGTGGTGCGAATGTGAGGATTCAACGGCTTAGGTCAACATCAAATAAGCGACAGCAACCAATTGGACTTAATTATCCACGTCAGTACCATCCCCGTTGTCTACATGCATTAGGAACGAAGACCGAAACACTGAGTTATCGCGTGAACGACCTTCAGACCTCCTTCACACCTCAGAGAAGTATGGGGGGGGGGGGGGCGAGAAGAAAGCTGAACTGAACATTATGTCTCTTCTTTTGCAAAAAAAAATCCCTCGACGGAACGCACTTCTCACATCAAAACATCATCCAACATGTCTGTATATCGCGGGGCGTCTCCAACTCATACACAGTGCCGAAACGGGAATACCGATATCGAAGAAATACGAGCGTACTCGCGAGAAGTTCGTTAATCTAGTAGGCACGCGGCAACCGTTTTAGCAAAGCTTGACAGTTACTGCCAATGGCCGGTGATTCAGCTGCTGCTCCAAATTGCAGGCTCCCACCACAGCCGGCGTGATGGCCGCCCTAATGATCTGCCGGTGGAAGAGTGATCGAGGTGTCTCGATGCCGGTGTAATCTGCAGCTGCTGCGAGACACCAGATAGGCGGTGTGAGTCTTCATCAGGTGTCAACGTCACGGGCAATAACGTTGCCGCCTCAAGAATAGGACGGCATGGCAAGTATGAAAATGCATGGTGGAATTTCCACGCCGGCGGTCACCTATGAAATCTACAAACAAATCACTTCCAGTGGTACTTTGATGACAAAACAAGGGGATTTGAGGCATTCACGAACAACATCGCACCCGACGTTAGCTGTGTATCGGCTGGAATGCGGCTGTTAGCAAAGTATCAGTTCGTATTACATGTTGTTTTGAGCTGCACTACCCGACCGATATTACCATCGACACTAAACACAGATTTTGATATCACCTTCAGAAAGCTTCGACTACCTTTCAGTAGTTGACCAACACATGTTTGAATCAGGCGCAATGATTAGAGCATGTGTGTGAACATGTGTGTATGCCAGTGTTTAAGAAAATGGCTGCATCTTTTGTATTGGCATTTTATGTATATATATATATATATATATATATATATATATGTATTCTATTTTCAAAATTTCCTGCTGCTTTTATTCTTTTATTTCCTCCGAAATTGGATCCGACTGTACACCGCTTTATTGGAATATTTTACTAGATTGCTTCAATCACTCCCAACAATCTTTAAGAACTAATCGAAAGGCTGCTGACCAATACAATAGTGCGCTATAAACATGTATATAGTGTATGAATGTCCAGGTGTGTGTGCGTGTGTGTACATATGGAGTGCATTGAACCTCAGTAATGTTCTCCTACTAATTGAGATTTCCCTGAGACGAGATAATTTACAACTGCGGTTTCAGACCAGAGCAATGCACTCAATACCGCTCACCGAACTGTAGAGTGTCGAACCTTACTCTACACGACAGTGTTCCGCACCTGCCCAGCTCCGTCCACGACTGTCAAGAGCGCCTGCCTGCCCCCGCTCCCCCTCTAAGGAGCGCGGCCACCCCCGTCCGCTCACCAGCAAGTCGGAGGAGTTCTTCTCGTAGATTGCCTTGGCTCGGGAAACACCAGCTGCGAGCCGACTCCTCATCGATGTACTCGGCCACGTTCGGGATGGCCATGAGGCAGGCCCGCTGCGGGACGCAGGGCCACGGCATACTGTCAAACCACGCGCCACGACCGGCTTCCAACGCAAGGCACTCGATCCCATGAGAGCGGGAGTGGATGGCAGCGGCCCCAGCATGGACACGGGCGCGGGGAGAGGATTCAGTGCACAGTTGGCGGGAAATGTTTTCGGGCGTGTGAGAGTAACCACATGTAAACTTGACGATTGCCAGCACTTTTTACGAAACTGCGTGGGGGAGCCATGCGTGCAAAAGCTGGCACCACCTGTTGTAGTTGATGTCTTGGAGTTGACGGAAATGTTTCCATGTTTAAGAAGTTAACCTAAGAGGAAGCGATAGTGAGTTATGGTGGGAGTGTTGGGGTTAAGATGAGGTCCATTGGAAGAACAGTGCTTAAGTTGTTTGATTAAATAAAAAATCGTAAGAACAATGACGATGACGACCATAGCGATAATGAACAATACCTGAATCTGAGCGGTAGTGGTATCCAGGGCATTATAGATTATGGGCATGACGTCCGTTTGGATCTCGTCCTTGGGCGTCTTCTCCAGAATGACGTGAAGATTCTCCAGCAGCGTCACTGACGCCTGGATCGATTTGGGCCATGAGAATATGCATCTGGGGACAGAGTTCAAAGCCTATGAGCGAAGAACGTGAATGTTAACACAAGGCATGTCAGCTGGAACGTGACGCTGTCGCGAGTTTCATCGATTCAGCTCTTCCTGTGGTCCGGCTCCCTACATTGCACACAAACGATTTGTTCATTTAAGGTGGAGCAAAACATGGCTCCAGCACCATGAATGGGCTGCAGTTTGATTCCATTCCCTCTTCTGAATCGGGTCAGGCGAGCTTTTCTTACCAGCTGCAGGGCAATATGCCATTATCCTACAACGACAAAAAAACGGAGAAGGATACGATTCTCTCCCCTAAAGCTGATGGGATGTGATATCCTGACTTGAAGTGTCTCCCCCTAAAGCGGATGGGATATGATGTCCTGACCTGAATTGGATTAGTATGTGATTTTCCCCCTAAAGCGGATGGGATGTGATGTCCTGACCTGAAGTGGGTCAGCATGTGATTCTTCCCCTAAAGCGGATGGGATGTGATGTCCTGACCTGAAGTGGGTCAGCATGTGACTCTTCCCCTAAAGCGGATGGGATGTGATGTCCTGACTTGAGGTGGGGCAGCATGTGACTCTTCCCCTAAAGCGAATGAGATGCGATGTCCTGACTTGAGGTGGGGCAGGATGTGACCTCTCGCTTGAATGCTGATGATGTAGCGGAATACCTCCCCTGACGCGCAGCGGGATACGATGCCCTCCCCTGAGGCGCGATCGACGAGGTTTCCTCACCTGAAGCGAGGCAGGATGATAGTTTCGTACTCCTCCTGACTGATTTCGCTGATGATATTGAGGATGGGCTGCAGCACGGCCGCCAGCACCTCCTGCGCCAGCATCTCCTCCCGCAAGCAAGGCCAGACGTGTTGAAACCACAGTTTCTGAGGACGAAAGCCGACAGTGCCACTGCGTGGTAGCGCACCCTTCGTAGTCCGGTCAGGCTTATAACATAATTTACATTTTTTGCGTCATCGCATTCATGGCACGTCCAGCAGCACTGGGCGTCCCGTTCATGTGTCAGCGTTCATTCCCAGTCTATTTTCGTGATGTACATGTGAGAAGAAGACTGAGCGTGCTTCCGCGTCTCACACGAGAAGTGTGCACAAATTCCGTCCTGTTTGTGTTTAGCAAGCAAAAACAATCGAATAAGTTGGTCGGCTTATTTCAGCAGTACCCGAGACACACAAATTGGCCCGCGAAACTTTGTCGTGAGTTTCCCAGTTCCATTTGTGCGCCGAGCGGCCGGCAGCGGGGGGCCGGGTGGCACCGCCAGCAGCGCAGGTGGCCGCTCCGAGCGAGACACTTTACAGGAGGTCGGAGGGAATTAATTACACCTGGAGTGTGATATGTAAGGTGTTGTCATGCAGCTGGACTTGTATAAGCAAACTAATGATACAATTCATTTGAATTGATTTATGCTATTTTAGCAATATCAGTCCTTCCACACCCTTTCGATAGGAAGCAAGAACTTTGGCCTTGCCTTTTCTCAGCTTTCTCTTAAATGACCGGGCCTCCCTAGAAATGTTTCTGAGATGAAAGTATGAATACTATGTACAGAATTGCGTCATCTCTTCTCATGCGATTTTTTGCCATAGCCCTTCAGTTTTCCTGTCGCCATTCTTTCGCAAAATTTCGGGTTTATGTGCGGTAGAAACTGGGTTGATATTCTCATCGACCCTGAGAGGAGACGGCCTAGACATTGTGCGAAAGACAGGAGACACGTCTCGATCTTAGTGACTCCACGGGGTAGGCACTCTTTCAGGCGATGAAACTGACACATTGTTGGCCCGAAGACAAGTTCGGTTCACTGTCCTTTGAAATCTAGAGTTGGTTTTATTTGATATTTATTCCTCACCGGCCGTGTTTTCTCCTTGAAGTTACATTTCTCTACTATTTTCGCAGCTGGCAAACGCGACGCATGCTCGAGCAAATCCGCTAGAATTGTTCCCAACGACTTTAGCTGGCGTGCCGCCATTTGTATGCATCTACGCCCAGAGTAACCCTGACTGTATCTTGTCGTCCAGGGCGCTGACGAAAGTGCTCTATATTTGAAATGCGCAGCGCAGCTTTTTTAGCACAGCATTAGGCGTTTGAATACTGTTAAGTGCCCATTACACTAACTATGAATAAATGGACTTGTGCAGCTTTAAAGATCAATTTTTAAATAATTCTAGTGCTCCGACAGAAGCTCCGGCATTCCCTTTTTAACACGCGTTCGGGTTGGGGCCAAATTAGTTTGACATCGTTTGACCTTATTTGAACTAAAGGTCATGCCTATTAACTTCAAATTTTGACACAAGTGAGTTCACATGCAAGCAGCCCACCGTGTAAATTTGATGTCTCTAGCCATCTCAACTTTTTTAGATC